CATCCTACACAACAACTTCACCCTTTAAATAACATATTCATTACCATCATGTGATTTTCATATACCACAAGATCTCAACATCCTTACCTTAAACAATTCAGTTGACATTTGTTTCCTTTGAAAATCTCGCTTTCGGTTCATACTCTGTACAATTCACATAATCCAATCATTATAATTATATCTACAACCCAACTTTCCCACAAAACCAACATTGGTAACATTCACAATGGAATATGACCACATTCACAATGGAATATGACCACAACAGCAAAATTATCTACATTACCATTCTTACCAATCCACATCCATCATCAGTTTAGCACATTGTTACCAATATTTGATAAACACACTACTTATGGAGGACATACAAGGTATAAGCAAAATATAACAACATACTAATGAGAAGTTTTGCCACAACTAAAAACATACGAAACTCTTTCATCCGAGATCATTTAAACAAAGCTGTAAAGGGCAAACCTACATTTATACGTCATCTGGGTTAATTAACGATTTGAAATGCAACTAATAGTTACAGCCACACAACGCCATCTGCATGCGACACTAACAATACAATTAACGGTACGCCAATGGAACGCAACAATAACAATTAAGGTTTTACAGTTCACATATATTCAATTGAATTCGAAATATACAACAAATTACTAATAATTAACATAATTCAAACAACAAACTCTGAATCAATTCAACAATATCGATTTCATCGCGCTAACAAAATTGATTTACCTCTATCGTGCTTCCTCAATTGATGTACCGCAGTTGCTAATTTTCAATTGCTATAACAAAATTGATGTACCGCAGACCTTCTGCATTATGCAGCAACTATATCACGGTTCCAGCAGCTTCACAAGTGCTCTTTTGTTGCCGTCCCATTCGCGAACATACATCTCTCTCTCTCTCTCTAAGCATTTTATCCCTCTGTTAAATTCTAGGGTTTCAATTAACGGTAGTTTGGAGACCGTTAGTCAAGCTATGACTGCTATGTAACGGCTCACAACTGTCAAATATAAAGTTGCACGGAAATGTCTATATTGCCCCCGAGATAAACAAAAATTGTTTCTCCCTGAGATTAACTTGTATTTACCGCATTATAAAGGCTATAAGAGGGGGTTTTTTTTATAATGAATTTTTTATATACTGGTCAAATATGAATAATAAAGGTCACTATGTTAAAATTAGGGTCACTATACTAAATATAACGTCAATTGCATGTGTATAAAGCTCATGTCCACAATAGTATTATTGTGAACTAGATCCATGTAAGTTTTTTCTATTGAACTAACATAGCCTAAGTCATAATGTCAATCTGTCATCTTTATAGAAAAGTCGTTTCTCAATACTCATAGGCTCATAGCATATACTTGTACTCGTATTTCGTATGAAGTGAAGAAATACATAAATACGTAAATATGCAATGAGTATTTCAACCAATCATTGACCCTTAAAGATATGGGTCCACATTTCATAATATCGTTGTCTGAAATCTGATTACTAATATAAATGGGGGAAAAATTACTCTCCACCACCTACGGTTGGATTCTGATCTTCTAAATCTAATCAGGAAGTATCTAAGCATCTATCTTTATTTAAATTTTTTTGTCAATCTAACTCTTTAATTACTTAATCATACTTGTCTTGTAATAGTTGTAAATATATTCCATCTGTTCAAAATTATATCAATTAATGTGACAACTAAAACTAACATAAGCTGTATAACTAGTTGATACAATCGATTGAACCATATATATCATTTATTTAATTGTTATATTACTAGTTCAAATTATATTATCAATATTATGATCCCAAAGGGGAAAGTACTTTTTGTCGATTTGTATTTGATTTTACAATCATAGAACTTCCTCACAAGAGTTATTGAGCGATTGTGTTGTATGGTTGAATATAAATAATTGAAAAACTATTACAAAAGGTAAGTGAAATTGTGTTGTACAATTTTATTTTATAAATGATTGAGAAAAAAGGACTATTATTAGAAAATAGATACCACAAAAATATTTTCTCAAAATTAATAATATTTACATTGGAATTTCCATAAGGAAAAAAAATAAAAAATAAAAAATTCTAGGAATAATTAGAATAGGAAAGTTCCAAAAGTAAAAAAAAGCTTATTCAATTTGTGAATAGCATATGATTGAGTCGCATATGTTTGACAAAATTTCAGCCGTAAAGTTCATTGGACATAGTGCTGAAACATGAGTATATAAAACACCCATTTCTACAAAATTTGTTTCAAAAAAAGGTTACAATACAAATTCATGTCGACATTTCCAGGAGAATCTTATATTATTCACAATAACTAGATGAGCTCAGTGTATCATATCATTCTGATGTGAATCGAGTCCCCTTCCTTATAACTATTTTTATTGCTTTATTTAGGTACTCTCTTGGTTTTGCCTTACTCTTAAAGTAGGGGTTTTACAAGTGAGTTTTTAATAATGTTTTTATTATTTTCTTAGTAGTAGTTATGGGGCCTTGGGCTTCCAAAGTTGTGTTAATTAATTAGTGGGCTCTCTTGGTTCATTAATTAATTATTAGGGCTTTTTATTTAGTTTGCTTGCAGGGCAAGTAGGATAGATTTATTTTTCCTATATATACTAGTTGTATGTCAATTATTTTAACAAGATGTTTTATGAATTATAATTTGAGATTATTGAGCTTTTGCTTGAAGAGAACTTTGTTAAGGTTCAAACTAGTTGTTAACTAGGGTTTTGGGATCGTTACTCCTAAAATCAAACTTAGAAGTCGTTGCCTTCTAAGACTATCTTTCAAATTTCCACCCTTAAAATCACTCAAATCCTTCCATCAAATATAAACCGTCAAAATACACATCAAATTGGTATCAAGAGCCAGGTTTTGTAAGTTCTCCCGACTTACACGATTGATAAGAAGAAAAAAAAAAATCCTTATTCGTACTCAAGCGGATGAATTGCAGAATTCGTTGGTATCTGTGCAAAAGGTACTCGTAACTTCTACATAGTAGTTTACTTGTTGGTATGTGCTCTTAATTTGCTTGGTGAGTTAGTGGAATTGCTGCCAAATTACAAAGTATTGGTTTAGTTAGAAGAATAAGTTGTGCCGTCATTATTGTTGTGTTGCAGTTATCGTAGTCGGTGGTATTAATTGAATTTTAAAGCATACTAATTTAAGGTGATTGTATTTTGGTAATTAGTTGCTTTGTTTGCTTTATCAAAATATTTTTATTGCCTTTAGTACGACTTGCTGCAAGATTATTATTTTTGGAGATAATTGGCCACGAATAGGACTGTGATTATTTTGACATCATGAGTACTTTAACAAAGGAAGATCTGGATACTATGCTTGTTGATATGATGAGAAATTTTAATGCGAGTCTTGAACGAATGAATGAGAAAATTGAGAAGAGTACACAAGAAATTGCTCAAACCAATCAAAGGGTTGAAACTTTGTCTACTCAAGTGATTGGGGAAGGAAGAATAATCAACAACGAACAACCTAGGGGAATCATGAGAAATTTTCCAATTGACAATGATCGAGATTTGAAGTTGTTGGAACTTCCGGAATTTACAGGTGATGGGGATGCCGAAGACTTTTTAGATTGGGTTCGTCAGATGGAAAAGGTCTTTGATTATAAAGGTTTTGATGAGCAAAAAGCCTACAAGGTTGCAAACCTAAAACTGACGAGATATGCTTCTCTATGGTTTGAGAATTTACGTGCCAAGAGATTGAGAGAAGATGAGCCACGAATTAATACTTGGAACGAGTTGAAGAGACAATTAAGGAAACGGTTCCTACCACGGGAATTTATCCAAGATCAATTCTTGAAGTTGAATCATCTTGAACAAAAGAATCTTAGTGTCGCTGAATACACTAAAGAGTTTGAGAAATTGTGCATGCTTTGTGATTTGCAGGAAAAAGAGGAGATGAAGATTGGACGATACATAAAAGGGTTAACACCTTCGATTTCTCACAAGGTGGAAACATCAAATTATGTGTTCTTTGATGATGTCTTAAGGTTGGCAGAGAGATTTGAGAAACAGGAGAAAGAAAAGAAAATTTCTTATTTCAAGGAGAGGAAGTCATTCTTTAATGGTGAGGGTTCGAATATCAACTCTAACAATTCAAACAATGAAGGGAAGATGATTGTTGTTACTCCCGAACAAGCTGCATTGGCGAAAAAAGTTTGTTTCAAGTGTCAAGGCATGGGACACATTGCTAGAGATTGTGGTAACAAAGTGACGGTATCCAAGAAGGAACATAGAATGTTGTTGGCTTATCTTGACCAAGAAGAGAAAGAGAAGGAGAGTACATGTTTGCTCAATACAGAGGAAGAGTTTGATTTTGAAGAGTTTGAGGGTCAAGAAAAGATTACTCCTGAACCTGAACATCACCATATCGGTATCTTAAGGAGAGTTTTGCATGCTAATTTTGTTCCTCCTACTACACATGAGCAAAGGGAAAATTTGTTCCATACTATATGCAAAGTGGGTGATAGGAGTTGCTCGTTGATTATAGATACGGGATCGTGCACCAATGTTGCATCTACTAAGTTGGTTGACACTATGAATCTTTCTACTAGGGACCATCCTACTCCTTACAAGCTTAATTGGTTACATGATGGAGATGGACTACAGGTTAAAAGGCAAGCTTTGGTGAACTTTTCCATGGGTTCATATTCTGATAGTGTATGGTGTGATATTTTACCTATGACTACTTGTTCTATACTCTTGGGTCGTCCTTGGCAATATGATCGAGGGGTGTTATTTAATGGTGTTACAAATGTTTATTCAGTGAAGGTTGGGGATAAGAGAGTCCAATTACATCCTTTACCCCCTAAGGCGCCACCTATTCAAGCTCCTGCTAGAGAGTTGTTGATTATGCCTAAACTTAACAAAAAGGAAAGAAGGGCTAATATGTTGTCATTGAGAAACCAACACCCTTTTGAGATTGGTGAGTATGTTTTCTTATCTTTAAATGCTCAAAAAATCTTTAATAATTCTAGAGGTAAGAATGAACCATTAGAGGAAGGACCTTTCAAGATTGTGCATAGGGAGAATTATGATACTTTTCAAGTACTTCTTGGAGCGGGAATTTGCGCTACTATGAGGGCTAGTGACTTGGTACCTTGTCTTCCGAACGAAACTTGAGGGCAAGTTTTTTTTTAAGAGGGAGGGAATGATGTGAATCGAGTCCCCTTCCTTATAACTATTTTTATTGCTTTATTTAGGTACTCTCTTGGTTTTGCCTTACTCTTAAAGTAGGGGTTTTACAAGTGAGTTTTTAATAATGTTTTTATTATTTTCTTAGTAGTAGTTATGGGGCCTTGGGCTTCCAAAGTTGTGTTAATTAATTAGTGGGCTCTCTTGGTTCATTAATTAATTATTAGGGCTTTTTATTTAGTTTGCTTGCAGGGCAAGTAGGATAGATTTATTTTTCCTATATATACTAGTTGTATGTCAATTATTTTAACAAGATGTTTTATGAATTATAATTTGAGATTATTGAGCTTTTGCTTGAAGAGAACTTTGTTAAGGTTCAAACTAGTTGTTAACTAGGGTTTTGGGATCGTTACTCCTAAAATCAAACTTAGAAGTCGTTGCCTTCTAAGACTATCTTTCAAATTTCCACCCTTAAAATCACTCAAATCCTTCCATCAAATATAAACCGTCAAAATACACATCACATTCATATGGCATCATTAAAAAACTATTTACTTCTAATAACAAAAATAATTAAATCAAAGGTGTATCATATATTTTATATGATCACGAATCATTCAATCATACCTACACCAGAGCAATACTAGGCATGGAATTCGTTGCTTATATCAGTCGCCTCTTGACATCTGCTGTCACAAGAATATTTCTTATCAGCAAACTGCAAAACGCTTAATTAAGGCAGGCATTCTTCTGTTCAGACAAGTAAAACAATATCACTTGCATGTTAGATACGGAGTACTACTCTAGATGCATATTTCAATAACCCAAAAATAATAAAACAGCACTTTCAATGGCCAGCACCTAGATCAAAACAACAAACTTTTTTCCTCGGATGTCATCAGTTCAGAATATTGGATTATAGCGAAGTTTCAGAGGGGGTATAGTATAGCATCAAAGTTCATAAGATTAGGTCAACAGAAGGAGAACCACTACTTTGATTGTAGATTATCTGAAATGATGACATAAAAGAGAATAAAAAGATGTTAGGATTGGTAATAAATTGACAAGGACAGTTTGACAAAGTATTGTTCTTCCTAGAAACTTCATTATCGATTTTCAAAGAGTGTGTGTAATCTGTCTTTGTCATGTATCATTCAAAAACCCCCCACTTGATGCTGCCCACCAATTTAAATTCAATACCTCCATGATCTGGCAAACATCAACTCGAATAAAAATTGCTATTGTAAGAGACTTAGATGATTTTGGACTTGACAAAGATGCCAATGCTTAGAAAAAGTACTTACTATATACTGAGAAAAAAAAAAATCATGAAGTTTGGAATTTATAATCTTGTATTTCTTAATCAGAGGATGGAGGGTCCTTTTGCCTTCATTCTGTTGAAACAAGAAAAGGCCATCTTCGTGCAGAAACAGATATAGCAAAATAGAAAGATACATGAATGAATCAATCAATGTATTGTATTGCTTAAGTTATCTTAATACAAATGAGAGCAGATAGCTGCATTCTGTCAGTATGACTTCATGCCTCCGATCTTGACTAAAAGGCAACATTCTGTTCTCTCATAAGGTAACAGGTCAGAAAAAATTCAGTTTTTGTACTTCATATTGGTTCACATCCAAATAAAAAGCTTTTCAATTCTATGTAAGAAAATTAGCTCTTCAGGGCTACTTGGAGTATAACTAACAGATAGAAGTGGTAAGCATGTCACAATCAATTGTTTCATGAGAATAGAACAAAGAACTGGGAGATGTCTAATTTATGCCAAAAGGTAGCATCATAGATGCCCAAAAGAACATAGGGATAATTTTGAAAGCAATTTAAGATCTTAACCAGCACTTGAGAATTTCAACCGAGGAAGCAAATAAGCTTGAGGACACAAGGGAATGAAAAAAAGTTCTGGGGTCAGACAGAAAATTGAGAAATTATCTGGCCTCAGAATTTCTTTGAACTTGAGTGTGGAAAAAGTTATTTGATGAGGCACATGCTCAAACCTTTAGACACAAAATTGTGATGGATAGCTTACTGCATTTTATGTAAAATCTTAAAAAAAAAAATAAAAAAAAATCCTGAAATTATATTGCATCACAAGGTTGAAATATGGATTGCATATGGTCATATACATGTGTGCTTTCACATTCAACAATATATAACTATTTATAATTAGCATTAATCAATTAAGTTGATTAAAGACCAATCAATCCACTCAAAGGAAGAGACAATTGGCTTACAAAAGTTACAATTGAAGAGCGGTCACCCATTACTCTCATTGTTCTTCGTAGTATGGTGGTGTAGACTGAACACATAGTTCATTGTCTTCCTCATCATCATCCTCATCTGCATCTACCCAATTCCTAGGATGGCGCTGAGAAAAGCCTTCCCCCTTTTCTTGCAACCCTGCAAGAAAGATTATATTCAACCATTTTGTTATATGAATTTAGTTTTAAATTGCAACATTTAGAACATTTATATACCTTGATGTGTCACCCGTTGAACAGTTTCCATATGATGAGAGCTTAAAGGCTTAATTAAGAAAACCCAATCAAAATCTTGGGAACAAATCAAACAATTTCAATTTCTATTAAACATCATAATATACTCCCCATGAGGGGGTTTTAAAAAGCTAATAGCTAGGTTAACAATAATGCACTCATTATAAAATTTTCTACTCCTTATTGTTGAGCTCTGTTAGGCTAAAATAGCTGAAAGGTAGTTGAAAGCAAAATAGCAGCTTGTTGAGAGACGAAAGTTCCCAAGCTAGTTAAACAAATTAGAAGTTCTTGGGAAAGCTCAATGTTGAATCAGCTTGAAAGTTTGTTATAACACAAGAAAAAATTCTAAGAAATTTCAAATTTAGTGTTATATACAATTGTAGGTTATTTTAAACAAGTCAAATAGCTAGCTCATATATTTTGAAGCTGTTTTGCTAAGCATAATCAACATACACACTAGTCCATAAGTTATTTGATTTAACAGATGCAGTATTACAAACCATATCAATAAGCTGTTGAATCAGGCTCGGTGAACACACCTAACTGGCTCATAAAAATTAGTGATTAAAATTGGAGCAACATGCCAGTTCATCAACTATTTGTTTTAGAAATGATATCACACATCATTTATAGTCTTAAAATCAGCTCATGCGACTCATTTCCCAGCAATTAGTGGTGAAAATTAGAAATAAAGCAAATGGAAAATCAAAGAAACCAGAAGGTATTAACATTCAAAGGTATGGGAGTAGTGCAAAGGATACGAATTTGGACCACCAGCGGCATTTTCTCCTCCAGGGGGATGCTCTGAAATTTGCATTTCATCAAACTTTTGAAGTTCCCTCTGCTCATTGGAAATGGTGTTTCCTTCACCTTGAACCAGCCTACTGCCACCAACAGATTTGGGACCACTTGCTGTTTTGTTTCACAACCAAGTTACTGTGACTGATTTTTTTTTTTTTCTTTATAATTTTAATGTTATAGGTTTCTAGGGTGAATCAACATATACCTGAAAGGTCAGACCATATTTTAGTATGTTCAGATGCATGAGCAGAGGCCTGTACCCTTGATCTTTCTTGCTGAGGTTCTGGTCCTGTCTCATTGTTAGCCATTCTGTTCAAGGCTCCATTTGATGGAACAGGGCCAGTTGGATTTCCTTCATGCAGCTGGGATGTAAGCATTGTTGCGAGAACTAGCTTGGCATCAAAGTTTGAAGTAGATCCATCATCATCCAAACCAAATTTGGGTGTCATGAGAATAGGCCTGTTTCACCAGTAGTATCACCAATCATTTCATATTCATCTTTACAGACTACAAGAGCCAATGCAATTTCCAAAGAGACTAATAAATGACATATTAATAGTGTAATAAAAATATTAATCCCTGCACATCATATGCTAAGAAGCCTTCAGCCCTTCAGTTGATAAATCAAAACCATATTAGATCATGAAGTATTCATTAACCATAGCATCTTAGAGACTAGAAAAATCATATCAAATTGAGCAAATATTATCCTTGAGTACAAACGTGTATACTTTAAAATTGTGAAGTAATATATACTGTTTGAATTCTCCTGTATCATCTAGAACAGTGATAAACTTAACAGATAGGAAAGCTTACTCGCCAGCCTTGTCAAAAAACAAATGGATATCAACTTCACAGGCCTCACAAAAGGAAAGAAATGCCTGAAATTGGATATTGAGAGAAATTCTCAGTTACTGATAGAATGATATACAAGAGTCAAAGGTAACAATATAAATCACTAATATATAGGTCAGTACTGATTGCACATGTATGAATGTACGATGTACCTTTAACTCCTTAACACCAAACGTAACATCTACTGGATTTCCAGTGTGAGCATATTGCAGGAATTCTTCCACTGGATCTATCCAAAGCTGAGTGTGTAAGGATGAACCACTATCTGCATTTTAGCAGATTAACATTAAAAACACGCAGAATTTCAGATAATAATAAGATCAGCTTTGAAACCTCGAATGTTTGAAGCGATACCATTTGTAGGGTCAATGTAGCTCCGAAGTTCTACAGCCTTCCCACCAATCTCACTTTCAGCTTCTGAAGGAAAAGAGGATGGTTCTGTAGCAATGATGGTGATCTCATGAAGAGAAGACTGAAAATTAGAAAGCAATCTGTTGAGATCACGGGGCCTAACAACAAAGTTGCTAGTGAATCTTCCCCTGTCGAGAGACAAATGCTGAATATCGGGTTCCACATTACAGTTTATCCAATAGGTTTTCCTCATGCCTACCCAATATTACAGTACAGCAAAAATAAGTAAGAATAATATTCCATTTTAAGTACAAAATAATCATCATCTATGCCACGCAAAATCGATTACCATTGACACAATCTAATGTCCACTTGACTTTAGCTGCATCAGCATCCAATAAATGCACCCTCAAATGATCAATGTTTGAAAGAGGAGTCCTTAAGACAGCACACACAGCCTAACAAACTCGAAATTAGAAACATCATTGATGCAAGTAGAAAAGTAATTTTATGTTTTTATGACTTTTCGTCCATATATAGATCTTTCAAGCCTTCAAGGTACTACCTTCAAGAGGATGCTAAACTGAACTTGCTGATTACCAGGAACCGAGCAAACATCAAAGAAATCGGGTTTAAACGATATCGATTGATAGGCAGAACGGGACGCATTAAGAGTGTAGAAAGCAAGCTGCATTCAGATAAATCCAATCAACAAAACATAGACATAGAAATCAATCCTCAATCAATACTAATCAAAATTTACAACAGGCGGCATAATAAACAACAAATCATTAATTAAAAAGGTGTTAATTTCTAAAAAATGATCAAATATACTGATAATTGATGCTAATTCAGATAAATTCCAACAAAAAATTTCACTAATTAAAATTACAGGGTTTTTTTTTTTTTTTGGAGCAGAACCCTAGAAACATGTATTTGAAAAAAATTGATTACAAAATAGGAATTTGGAGATGAAAGTGAAAGAACCTGAGAAGAAGAAGCTTGAATGGCGAGTTCGTTGCCGATTTTAGCAAGGCAGTTGATGGAGCGAGCAAAAGTTTTGAGCGCGTTCCCGCTAACACTCACCTCCATTTTTCTCTCTCCTCCAGACTCTGTGTTCTTCTTGGCGGGAAAAGCTGCGAATATCTTTTATTCATCCCTATTAAACATTTCTTTTTTTATCGAGGAAGTTTGATGATAATTTTTTTTTGAAAGAAAATTACTTGTCAATTCCGTTATGAAGAACATTAGCAACGTATTAACTAATCAGAGAAAACTACATAGCTCCCTAAAACAATTACAGAGATCAAAGGAACATATGAAAAAATGCCAAGCAAATGGCGTGGGGTAGTGCACGTCGGTTTTTATTATATAATTTCTCGATATTAACCGTGTGAACGTAACTGAAGATTGACTATATTTCAAAGGAATATCTAACATGTAGGTTAAATTATTAGGTGTCTAATGGGTTAAATCATTTTACATCTTTATTCTATGGTATGACAGATTTGTTTTAGGCTTTTCTTTTTCAATTGTAACAAAAAAAGTAATATTGCATATTTGCATTCGTCCATACCAAAAGTGATTTTAATTTCGAACTAATGTTACATGCACCAATACAATAAAATATGGGTTAAAATTATTATTTCAAGTGTTCAACCCAAAATACAATGTAGCATACAATGTTTAACTTTGAACTAATGTAGCATACAATGTCAAAATTTATACTAGTATTAAAAATTAATTAGGTCATATAATAATATCAATTCAATACAATATTGAATGTCAATTCACAATACAAATGCAAATTTACCTATATTTAACCCTTTCAAGTTTCAACCACTTGACATAAAATGACATAGTAGTTACATCTGCTTTTTAATTCATGGATCAGAAGAAGTGTAAGATTGCTGCCCTAAGTCTCTAACGGTCTAAAACGATACTATGTTATTGTTGGCATTACTCCAAGGTTGTGTTGCCTCTTTACAAGCATGATCAGTTGATCACTGGAATTTCTGTGCCTTCCCATATCTGTTGTCATACTGCGCAAGTAAGCAAAAATAATACTCAAGTATGATCCTCAGTTTGTGAATGCTGTTTCAATCCCATGATAGCATCATTTATCTCAACCCACTTAGGATGTAATCTGTCTTCTACGAAGAACTCATGAACTGTGCTGTTCACTTCAATTGAACTACAACCTGGAGTTTTCTTCTCAGATATATGTTCACGAATTTCCTTCCTTAGACCCTCCACTGATCTCCAGTCACTTTTAGCCGCAAAAATGTTTGATAAAAGCACATAAGCTCCCCCATCTTCTGAAGCTAACTGAAAGAGAACGCTGACTATATCATCATCGATGTCCATATAACCATGAATCCTGCAAGCATTCAGGAAAGCTCCCCATATGACTATATTCGGTTTCATGGGCATGCTTTTGATAAGCTCCTTAGCTTCTTTCACAAGCCCCCCTCGGCCAAGGATGTCCACCATACACCCATAATGCTCAATCTTCGGTGTAATATTGAACTCTCTCTGCATTCTGTTGAATTGCTGCCTCCCCTCATCAACAGCGCCAACATGACTACAAGCTGATAATACAGCAACAAAAGTAGCATCATTCGGTGCCATACCAAAAGATTTCATTTCCCTGAAAAGCTCCAATGCTGACAAACCATAGCCATGGTCTGAGAGCCCTGATAACAACGCATTCCAAGTGCATATATTCCTATAGGTCATATCGCGAAATAGCTGCATAGCTACATCAATACTACCACATTTAGCATACATGTCAACAAGCGCGGTACCCAAATGTACATCAGTTGTAAGTTTATGCCGAATAATGTAAGAATGAATCCATTTCCCCAAATCCAATGCTCCCATTTGAGCACAAGCTGATAGAGCACTAGTAATTGTCACGCTATCCGGTTTGATCCCTACAAACTGCATTTCCTTATACAGTTCCAAAGCTTTTGCTGCATATCCACACTGTATATAACCAGAAATCATTGAAGCCCACGAAACCAAATCCTTCTCTTCCATCTCATCAAACAAAGTCCTAGCAACATCAGCTTGACCCAACTTACAATACCCAGCAATCACAGCATTCCACGACTCGACACTCCGTTCAGGCATTTCATCAAACAGCTTACGTGCATTCTCCAAATCCCCACAACTAAAACACGCTGTAATCAATGTATTCCAATTGACAACATTATTCACAGGCATTTCATCAAACAGCTTACGTGCATTACTAAAATCTTCACATTTCGAGTACAAATTAATCAAAGCATTATTAATAAACGCATCACACTCAAAACCCAGTTTCAAAACCATCCCATGAATCATTTTCCCTTCAATTTGACACAATTTCATAGCATAAGCTTTGAGCACAAAAACAAACGTAAATCTGTTCTCTTCAACCCCATTAGACCTCATTAATCGATAATTTTGAATAGCTTTTTTTGGGTTTTTCGCCTCGCAATAACCCCTGATTAAAGTTGTCCATGAATATGAATTCGGAGAATTGATTTGATTGAAGATTTGATGAGCATAAACGACGTTTCTAGCCGAAACAGCGAAAGTTTCGACCAATTTTGTTGCTAGAAAAGTATCTTTGATTTGGGCAGTAATTATAAAATGAGCGTGGATTTGCTTCAATTTTTGCGTAGAATTGCATGATTGAAAAATTGAGAGAAGTGTAGAATTTGGATACTTGGAAAGCATGGAAATGAAGCCACCATTAAACGAGCAGCCACGAAAATCAATTCCTGGTCTTCCAACTATTATTTTTAATTTTTCCTTTTTCTCTACAGTATTTTTTTATGCAACGCTTTTTAGTGTGGTCAGCCACACCGTACGGCAAACTAACACACATCAAACCAGGGAAGTGAGTAATCCCTAATCGACCGAGTAACCTCTACTACATTATATGTCTGTATGGCCAGTTATTCTGAAAATTTGTGAACTACTCGTAGTATTTAACCAGTGGGATGCATGGGTAATTTTTTTTTTTTTTTGCTATTAGTAATTTTTATTTTAAGGATCGTTCATTTGCATATTAGGATTGCTCTTGGATTGAATTTAAGCCAAAATATACGTGTTCATAAAAATTGTATTTTAGAAGTCAAATGAAATTAAGTGTAATGCGAGGACAATAAGGAAAAAAAAGGAAAGATCAAGAATAAATAAATATTAAGTACATTGATTTGCACATGATTTAATAATAAAATTTCAACTTTATTCCATTTTATGAATAAATGTTTATATGTATTTTAAGAGTCACGGTTAGGGATTACTTTATCAAGGGTTACTCAGTAAATGTTATTGTGTGTCAGCCGGGCACACGATATGACCGAACACACAGAAAATGCATTGTTTCTGTTGCTACTTTCAAATGTCACAAATGTAATAAAGCAAAGAAGTAATTAACAGGAAATAGATGATTCTTCCATTATAATTTTATTTATAAACATGATTACAATTCAGAGTACCTTATACAGGTACATTGTATTTTTAAACCATATCACACGAGTCTAAAAGATAATTAATTAAATAATATACGCTAGAGGTTATATATTAAGAAACGACTTAGCAATATGACCATTACCCCCCTTAGGGTAAAACCCACCAGGAGTGTGCTCATCACCGGTTACATACAAAGCCCTAAGTATTTCAGCAGGCGTTCGAGCATAAGAAATCGAGTCGGCATTAGCCGATAAGATGTTTGCTGTAGACTTGCCCTCAGCCCCAAGCTTCTCTGGGACTACGACGCCTTCGTCTTTAAAGCCATTCCTGCCTAAGTCGTTCCTTAGAGTTGAAATGCGATCGGTGAATTCTGCCACGGTAAAATTATATGGGTGTACTATGTCACCTTGTCTCTCGTATAGGTACGTCCTAATCACCGCGTCTTGTCCACTTTCAACCCCCAAAAGCCCTGCTAGAAGCTGCATAACAATTAAGGAATACTTTGAATCAAAGAAAACATTAAGGGTTTAATTCAAAGATACGAAGTGTATTGTTTTTGCAAGTGTAAGTTGTTCATACAGATATAAGTTCCAATATTTATTCACTTATTATTAGAATAGTAACATTTTATAGAATTTCTTAAACATCTCAAATAATATAAATGTCAATTTGACGTGCTAAACGTGTAATAACCGAGTAATTTGGCAACAAGTAAAATCAACAATTGTGGTAATTCAATGTAATGAAGGAAAAAACATAATAATCATACGTAATTAATCAAGCAAATTAAGGCAATTATCTTACCCTTCGAGTAACATAACCTTTTATTTGTGCGTTAGCACCAACATAACCATTAAGTCCCAAATAAGGAATAATGTAAGAAGCCAATACGTAGCTGACACTATCTCTGTATGGATCAAATGGAGGCTCAAGATCACTGTCAAATGCTTTATTTACAATTTTTGCAAAAATTTCCGGACTTAAATCTATCAATGGCCTTGGGAGTCCTCCAACTGTCTTTTTTATGATCCTAACAATAAGACAATTAAAATAATGTTAAAATAATATATAATACATTATAATAAATTAGGTTAGTAGTGTACTCGTTCGATGCACGAATGATAATTTATCTGTTAATTGGTTAGTTAGAATCTTTACATATATGGTTATACTTGTAATGACTCTTTTATGAGACAATGCGTGAATTAAAATATTAAGATTAAACTTGCTATTATACGACATGCATGAGAAATGACTTGTAAGTATGAAGGGTATAATTGACAAACCGTAAGTGTCCAACTTCTTCATAAGCAAATTCTTTGACAAAACTTTGAGTGAAGTTGTCAAGATTAGCCTTTTGAGCCCCGGTCGGAGGTGGACCACCAAGGGTTAGCTCAGGGGCAACCTTGTCAAGGCCAAACCCTAGCGCACCCCACAAGAAGAAATCAGCTTCCAAATGCTCTATATTTTGAGCAAATTGTAACACCTTAACATCAATATCGTAAACAGGTTTATCAGTATTTGAATCGTAGTGATCCAATTCAATACTCGGGTATACCGATCTAATAGACCCTAGGAAAATAAGGATCACCAAAAATGATAATGAAGAAGATTTGGATAGGAGAATGCTCATTTTAGCAAGATGATATATAAAACTTTATGCTAGTTTGTTTAGGAGGGGTTTTCAGATGTTTTTGTTTATGTGGAGTATGATTTGTGAAATTCAAGTTACTTGTATATATACTATGAGGGGCATTTAATTACTAACCTTGATTAGTACGTCTTTTTTTTAGAAGATAATATCATGGTTATATCTTGATATGATCGATTTATCAAATCATGTGCATATAATACCTTTGACTAGCTGCATCTTTATGAACTTTTACAATATATAGGTACATATATCCTCCATGATTATGTACATATATCTCTATATCAAAAACGTAATCTCCTTTCCTAACGTATAGCTTATTTGTGCTATATTACTATGTCATGTAATTATCCTATAAAATTGACACTATTCATTTTCCCTCCCATATGGGTTAGTTAATATCTAAAACTTCTATTTTCATTATTGTGAAAATACAAATTAATATCCTATATTAACAAAACTTGTTTATATCAGGGTATAAATGTCTTTTCCACAAACTATCCAAAATGTCGTCGTTGTTTGAAGCCATGCATGCATGCATTGAGTTTTCATCTGATTCTTTTCTAATCAAGGAGTTTTTCACAAGGCAAATATTAACAAAGGTCCATCTAAGCAAGAGGTTATCTATAACTTGCTATTTCCTTTACATCTATAACTTATCCTTTTCTAGCTACTTTCAGAGCTCAAGTAATAAATTGGCATCACCGCCTGAGTGATCCTTCGATCTCTAAGTATAATCTTTAAGATTATTATATATTTTGGGATACAAGATAAGCTTGATGTCACTAGGCCTGTCTTTTACTTATAATGCTTGTCAATGTAATAAAAGTCATAAACTCTCATGCTAATCTTGATGTACTTTACATTGATTAATACACATCTCATGCATGCAACTCTTGATATAGTTTCCATAAATCTTTTTTACCATTGATGGAGTGTCCTTTATCAAATCATATATGCATATATTAATATCTTTGACTAGTTAGGTAATTATCCTCCCCTTGGTTTAAAAAAAAAAAAAAAAAAAAAAGTAATTATCCTCCCATTTTATGTTCTATGTACATAATGTCATACTTACGTACTAGAACAAAACAATATCACTTATTTTAACGATTTTTTTTTTTTTTTTTTTTTTTTATTGTGGTGGAATTTTCAGTAAAAACTTAGCCAAGCATAGCCAATGTGTAAGAATTTAGGTATTCTAAGCGGAATTTTATGAATCTCATTCATACGCACCTAAAATAGGATCACATACACAACACACAAAAATCACATAATTATACCTTTGAAGCGTAATTTCCACGAAGCAATTGATTGACAATTAGGGAAAGAATGGAGTCCCAAGCATTGCTCCTCTAATTAGTCCACGGGATTCGAACGATCCGTCCACCAACGCTATATTGGTCGGATGAAGGAGGAAAGACCACGATCACCACCGTTACGGACAACCGGCCACCACCACAAACCACCACCACCATGTACACATCACCGGCGCACAAGTAGAGGGATGGACGAGAGTGAGAGAGAGTTTGAGAGGGGTTGGCTTATGTTTGCTAATTAGGGTTTGATCTAATGATCACTAAATCTTGTATGTCAACCCTAGGAACCTAGTCTATTTATAATCCTAATATAATTAGACTAGGAAGCAAAGCCCAAAACCCCTTATGACTCCTCATATGGCCGACCACCTAGAGGGATGAGGCCCAACATGGGCCTCTTCCTCTTATGCTCAATCTAGCCCCTTTGTGTGACCTTATAGGATCCGTTCAATTGAGCTTTGAACTATTTTACTTGCCCAAAGGTCGTAAGTACCTCTAGATATGATAAAATGATGATCCAAAAGAACGAACTTAATCATCTCCATAATTTGATCCATTATATATTTAGTAATTGCAATTGACGAAGACATAAAACCTTCAATCTCCCACTTGTCTGAGGCAAGCTAAGTGTGCAATATTCAAATTCCTTAAGTCAATATGTGTCAATTTGATGATATAATTGAATCACATGTCGAAATCATAATAATTTACAAATCATTTCTTGAAATCTGAGTTAGAATTGCAAAACAAATAATGATTACTATGTAATCCATTTGAGCACGACCATGCATTTTTCTCAATTCTCTCTCTTCAAGAGGCCATGACACTTTTCCTAATTAAATAGGTAGACTCAATTCAATCTTGTGGCAACCAAAGCTTCCATTCAACTTTTGAAGTAACTAGGTAACACTCTTTATAGTCCCCTTTTACGGAATAATGTTTTGATGTCCCACATTTAAATCAATCATTGAATGAAATTAGTGTTCCACTCATGTCAAAGGAATCCACTAATATATCCGGAAGTTCTATACTTGAACTTCAAAGTAGGTCAATAGTTCGATCATATATCATTCATACATATCCATATGATTAACCGAGCATCTCTATGCCCCTATAGCCGATGAAATTACGCTATCCAATCAATCTTACATGCCAGTCCATTCATTGAAACCATTTACGTCCAATTTAATGATTTTGAACTAGGAACTTAAATAATTTATGAATTTAGTTCGCCTATGGAGTTTCATTCACCAAATCACGTATTTGATGATCCCATCAATTCATAATTATTTTGGACATTTTATAAACATAGGGAAATATAACTGATGATTTTGGAATTGTGACTCCCTAGCACACAATCAAAACCATCCACCATCATGTTCATTTCAAATGAGCCTTTTGTGTCTTTAGGTCATTGAAATAGTTTAATAATACAATTCATGAGACATTCTCATTAACATGAATTTTGCAACTTCTATATATTATAATAATATTAATATCCATTCATTAAGAATCTTCCTTCATCCTTCCCACAAGGAATTTAGGAATTTCTAAATTGTATTCCAATGTTACATTGGATTTCGATTGATATTTATCACCACATGTTTTAAAATATGTGAATCAAATAGACGAGTATAGTCCATGACACACATGATGCATCCAAATTCACGAGGAGCATCATTCAAACCCTTAATTTTATCAATCTTTCTCAAAGCCTTGAATCTTGTTAAGGAACGTGCCATGTTTTATGGGATTGAAACTCCTTTCAATATAATGTTGTACCTCATAAGAATCTTATCAATATAAAAAGTTTATCAACTAAGCTCAAACATTCTTCGAGACCTATTTCTATAGATCTTGATTCCCATATATATGTACTCATCATCCTCTTCAAGGTTTTTTATACAAAATGCATTATCCATACTTGACCCTTCAAGCATGGAATAAATGCTCGTTGTAAGAAATATGTCATCTACATACTAGATCAAGAAGACTATATAGCTCCCACTAAACATCTTGTATACACAAGACCTTCATTTATGAGGATATCAACTGATTTGATTAACCCATTAAATTGAAGATTCTAACTCCATGATGCTAACTTCAGTCCATGGATGGACCTTTTATGCATCCTTAGGATTATTAGATTTTCAAAAACCATTCTGATTGTATGACATACAAATCTTCTTTCATGAACAATTTCAAAAAAGCGTTTCTGAAATCCATCTACCAAATTTCATTAGATAGAGATCACTAGAAATATCTTTAATAGATTTTGGCAACATGACTAATGTAAAGGTTTCATTATAGTCATACTATGAATTAGTTGAATCCCTTAACAATAAGTCTTTGCTTTGGTCAGAAAACATTTTCCTTCCTTGTCTGTTTTTGCTTATTATGGGTCTTACCCAATTAGGCAAGTTGATCAAGTGACACACACTTGTTTTCAGACATAAAATCTATTTCAGATTATCCTGGTTTTAAATCACTTGAAGTTATGAGTCGTCAAATCATCCTTGTCACTTGCATAATCATTATGTTTCAAAATCAATATTTTTAGACCTATTAATTAGTCAATATGAAATCATATTTCTTTGGCTAAGTTTAGATATGCAAGTCATCATTGTGGGTTTTTATGCAACAATTGAAACTTATACAACAACTTTATTTAATTTTCTATGAGAAACGACAATGGAGGGTGTGCACTTGGAATTGCTACCTTCGACACATGATTATTATTCTCACTACACTTAATAAGACCCACGTTGTCATTTATAACATGAGGTGAATCATCCTCATATTGTTGCTTTTATTCGATTACTTCTCGAACTTCTTCGAGATTCTCAAACTAACTTTTCTCGAACGCCTTCGAGGCTCTCGAACTCTTTCGAGATTCATACTCCCACTTGCCTTTTGAAGAGGCACATTGGCATGAGGTGAACCAATCATGGTTTGTTTGTTGCTTTTCTCGAACTTTTTCGAGATTTATACTACTCTCATTGACCTTTTGGAAATGACATCTTTCCAGAAGGGCACCTACTTGAGCAACAAACATTTTGTGCTAAGTATGATTTGTGTAGTAGTACCCCGTGCTCTATATAGGAATCGAATGTATATTAAACGATTTAATACAACTTTTATTCCTTGTTTTGTAGAAAGAATTTATAAGAACTTTTCTTATCCATATCATATATGAAGTCTTTGCTGCATCTTGATTTAACTTATGTAGTATCAAGGTCTTGACTCAAATTCTCATTATTACGATCATATCGCAATACTTCGAATATATTACCAAGTAAATGTCTTGATTCAAACTTTCACCATTACAATTATATTGTAATGCATTTATTATATTGTCTAGTTGACATCTCAATGTTCATCATGGATTTCTCCTTTTTGGCACACCGTTCAATTGCGGTGTTCTAGAAGGAGTTAATTGTGAAAGAATTCCACATACAATCCCTTAGATGATTATTGAATTCCTGGCTTAAATACTCACCACCACAATCAGATCGTAGTACTTTAACTGTTTTGCCAAGTTTTATTCTGAACTTCATACTGGACCTTTTGAACTTTTCAAAATATTCACACTTATACTTCAACTAAACACAGGTGATCATATCACAAATGAAGTTTCATTATCCGTTTCTAGCCTTTGAACCTTAGGTTTTCTTACATCAATATGTATTCGATCTTGAGTTCACATCATCATTTCTCTAAAGGATGACTTTGTCAATTTTCAAACTTAGAATGATGTTTACATACATCAATAGATTCATAATCTAATGATATTGAAAGTCCATCCCTTTAGATCTTCCGTATGCAATGTTCATTTCCACATATATATATATATATATAT